ATGTTTTCTGATAATCAGATATTACAAATAAACCTGTCTTACTAAAATTATGAATTATTAAAGTCTAATTTTAAACATTCATAAAATTAAAAGTATTAAAACATCACAATTATTGTTTTTGCAGGGTGCCTTTAATAATCAATCAGTGCTCTAAGAAACTTAAAGGCTAGATTTATGCTTCTGGTTTGTGTGCTACGGTGTTACGAAGTATGTAAGTAAAACACTCAAAAATGTAAATTTCATTACTACCTGGATGTTTTTGCTTGTTTTGGGTACTGCTCTGTCTCCTCAAAGATTTGAGTCCTATTCAGTGAGCCCCACACCCCACTAACTTCTCATCTCTATTGTCTACATGGATACCTTGATCCTGTTTGCATTTTGACACCTATTTTCATGTAGATAGTTAGCTTTAATGCACAGGGAGCTATGCGTTAGTTTGATAAATGAGTTGGATTTTACAATATTGTCATGCTCAAAGCTCTTAGGATTTCTGAAGAAGCAAACAAACAAGGCGTGTTTGAACACCACTTTGATAACAGATGTGCACTGCCAGCCACTGGCTACCTTATCTGATAAGCCCAGGGCAAGCTCAGCTAACTGGCAGGCTGTTGTTATTCTGTATTGTATAAATTATTTATTTCCTATGACAAATTCCAAAACTTGCCTCATGTCTGGTGTACCCTTCCAAAATGCCTCACTGGTCAATAGCCAATCTCCCTTCCTCGCTCCTGCTCCCTGCAAGATTGGTGCTGTGTCCTCAGAGTCTGACACCCCACTGGAACATAGTGGCCCTCACAACCCCTGTCACACCCGTTTCCAGGGATTTATGCTCTACTGCAGACATAGTGGATGAAACAGCAAGACATAGCTGTGTCTCCTTGTCGCATTTGCACAGACATGAACAGCTACTCCAAAACAAGCCAACAAAACCCCACAACCCCTGCCACAAATCTGAATCTTCAGCTGAAGAGACAGACTGGGGCAAATGACTGCTAGTCGACAAATTTGCACACATTTTTTGAGTTCTATTACGACAGTGGCATGATTACGTCTGTCCCTGATTTCTAGGCCTGCTTAGCGCAGTTCCTCCCCGCCAGGGACAAGACAGGGGCCCTCTCCCAGCCTTTCCTGAACTCCACAGCTTCAGGCTCCACTGGAAAACCACCCCCCTTCCACCTGGCATCTCTAGCTCTTCTTCTAACACTGGCCAACGAAGATGTCCCTGTCTTACGGGAAAGGTGGTCAAGCATGATGCTCTGCATTTCAAGGTGCCGAGAATACACATAATTAAGCAATTTCTCTCAGTTCCACTTTAATTCTCTAGGAAAGTATGATACTAAGCAGGCCTTTGGGAGGAGAAACCAAACAAAAACATCAGCATTGACAATCTTGATATTCTGATGGGTGGAAAATTTAATTCCCTATTTGTAAAGGTTTTACCTCTGTGTTGGATTTGGTTTGCATTCCATTTGTTACTAGCCACTTTGCCAAGATCTTCTGGCTCAAGAATACTAGATGATATGTAGATCAGTATCCAGGGTACGTTCCAGACGAGGAAATTCCCGATCACTTATCTGCCCCTCCATGTTTATTTATATATATA